AGGTAGAGTCTGGCACGACCTGTCTCGTGTGTGAGACAAGAAATGAAGGGAGCGTGTAGCCTGTGTGAAAGTGGGAGGATCAAATACAAAACATAATGTCATGTGATGCTTCAGAAAATGTCTGCAGTATTGCCTAGGAAACACACTGCCAGTTTGCAGTCAGCAGCCTACGCATCTCACGGCTCCAAGTAACTGTTAGCATCTCGGGAAAGCCCCTGGGACCATCTGTAGCTGAAGCATGTTCTGTGTGTCACACAGTCTCAGTCCCCAGAACAGGGCCTTTGCACAGACTTGCTTTTGCAAGCATGGCAAGCCTGCAATGCCCTTGTTTTGTTGTTTTGCTGCTTCCACAGCACTCTCAGCTCAAACTTCTATACCTTTCTTCCTGCCCTGTAGGTTCCCGGTGCCTCAGGCAACTGTTGACCAGGATTAGTTCTTTACTTCAAACTAGAGATTTTGATTCTCCATCTGGGATGTTAAGATTTCTTTGTTACTAACCACAAGAATTACAGGCTAGCTTTTATTTCTTTATGTTCTTCTGTGTGTTCTCCAAAAGAACTGAGAAAACAAAGGATTCCCTAGATATCCTCTACCCATCAGGTGTGTCAGTGCCCTTGCATGGGAGTCTGGAGGAGATGAAAACTGCCTCCACTAGCACTGCTTTGCAGTGCATACCTACAGGCTCTTTCCCAAGATCATTCAGTATAACCTCCAAACTTTTCCCTTGGTGTATTTTGACCAATACCACAGTGCCAATTTCTTCAGCACTGTATATGGCAGATGCCATATGCTTTGAATTATTTTAGGGGTTATTGTCTTCTGAAGGAGAAAGAATTTCCAACATAGCATTACATTTCTCAACAACAAAGCATAAGGTAAGAAAGACTGAAGGATAGACTGCTTCGTTTCACCCCTGCTTTTTTGAATGTTGCATTAGAATGGTGCTGGATGAGAGAAGGGATTTCTTTTCATTGCTGCCTGTGAAACACACCTTATATCAGGATGCCCTGTGGGGCCCAGAGCATCTGTCAGCCCATTGCATTGGAACCTTCTTTCTGTGTATTGTGTTATATCACCTGTGCATCTCCTTGGTGTTGGCCACAGATGCCAGGCTGACAAAGTGTTTCTTGAACAAATAAAGAAATTTGGAAGTCCCTAAAGCATTCTACCATCTGCAGTCATTGATTTGACTTCCTCTTGGTTGGTGAGACACTGTAGCTGCCACTTGTCAGAACCATGTTGAGCATAATTGGTTGAATGTATTGAAACCAAAGTTCTGTCCAAAAGTTAGCTCTCCAGGTGAAATATGTATAAATAAGCTATCTGGGTATCCAGTCTTAACAACAGAAATTGATTCTCTTTTTTTCTGTCTGTCTCTTTAGGTCTCCAAAAAGTGACATCAGTAGTGAAGGATATGTCTTGGAGGTAGAGTGCTGCTCCTCTTTAAACCACCTTTCAGAGAAAAAGGACATATCTGATTTTATTAAAAAAGTGAGTAAAAATTAAAAAGGGGGGGCAACCCCAAAACACAGTATGTTTTATTTGCACTATAATTATTGGTTCTGGTTCTATCAGTTTGGCAATAGGTGTTTTGTCATTTTAAGTATCTGAAGGGCTATTATACTTATTGAGAGAAACTAACTTGATCATATTATTATGAAAAAAATATCTGTAGTAGTACAGGAGAGTGACCTCTCACAGATGATATCAACTAAGTTACCAGTGCAACAGATGGTTCTATAATGTACAACATTTTATGTTGAAACAATATCTATAATTTCCATTTTAGTGCCAAATTATTCTGTTGAATAGTACTGTGCCTAAAAGGCCTATTACCTTTGGGAAACCCCCAGATTATGTAAGCTTTGTCTCAGTATCACAGGATGGTAGCAGTTAGGGATGACACTGGTAACCCAAATACCTTTGTCAGCCAGAATAATGTTGCTTTCAGTGAACTTTTATACATACTGGGGAATCTGTAGAGAACCCTGCAACTATTTGTTTGTGGCCTTCTCTTTAAAAGTATTTTTAACACTATAATATTCTGCCAGACTGGAAATTAGCAGGTTATGTCCATTTTAGTGAAGACAGATTCACTGTGCATGTTTCAAATTTTGCAGCATCTGTTGTGTCCTGTTACATGTTATATAAACTAGCATTGAATGCTGTACTACTTCGCCATGGGCTGTAAGAATAGTGTGACTGGGCTTTCTCCCCTAGCTTTAATCCATTTTGCAGTGACAATAGTTAAGAAAATTTTGTAGAATAAATTTCAGCACAGGCTGTGTGAGCTTGATAGAGACTCAGCTTGACAGGATACACCCATGTTCAATCTTGCCTTTTCAGTATGAATTGTATAAACTGGATTAAAATAATGCAGCTCTCAGCATCTATCATCATCGTCATACATATATAGATTTTGGTATCTGAACAAGCTGAAGTTTTCTGAGCACTTAATAATATATGAGTCTGAATTTTGCTTCAGGTTTTTATTGTGTTATTGCACTACTAGTCTGATGTTATCTTGGGCTATTTCAATATATTCACACTTAGGCAAAACTGGTGTAGTTACTGTGTATCAGTTTCAACATGTTTGATTTTGTTCTTCAGTTCTTTGAGTCAGAGAAGAAATATAGGCCTGACTGTCACAACTGGTAGCAAAATTGTACATCATTGCAACAGAAAATTTCTTTGCATTTGTAACTTCAGAAAGAGTATGGCTAACATGAAAACAAAATGACAATCCAGGAGTCATCTTATTTCCATAAATATCCAATTCTGAGACTCTTTAGAGTGCTTTCCTAGACATGGAAATGTTTCTGTTGAAAGAAGTCATTTGATTATGGGGTTATGAAGATGCCTTTTTGAAAGATAATAATTTAAATTTTTATAGCTAGAATGTATATTTACTGTTTCTCCATATGCTGAGTGTGTCGCTCATCCTCAGATGTTATTTGATGTAGAGAATTTTAAAGTTCTTTGAAGCAGTTGCTGTCAAGTGTGTGCTGTGTCACTGTCTGTATCTGATTAAACACATTGTGAAAGTCTCAACACTTTAATGTAGATTTAACTAAGGAAACAGGACTTGTTTGGGAGGAGGAATTAATTGTCATATTAACTAATTTGTTTGAGCAACAAAAATGTCCATTGCTTTTAAGGGCATATAAACCAGATGTTTACAAACAAAATAAAGGAAAAATAAAGGATGTTCTTCAAAGAAAATAGTAACAAAAAGCTGTTAGAGAGGGCAATTGCTGCTTTCAAAAAAGAACAGCCCTATAATTCTTAAACTGTGGAATGCAATTGAAGTTAATAGAATGTTCTAATTGAATAGGCAAATAATTTTCACAACAGAGGCTTTTGGCACAGGTTTGCCATCTTATGGCATTGCAAATTACTGTATTAAAAACAAACAAACAGACCAACCAAAAAGAATAGCCATATATTCAAAACAAAATGAAAAGTCATCATTTTATCCATGAACTTACTACAAAAAATTCTTGTACTCTGAGAAAATTGATTTTATTAATGTTATTATGCACTGCTGAGCAAGTATTGTTTGTGTGGCGTTGGAACAAGGGTGCAATTTTAATAACTTTTCTCAATTGACTTTCTGTTGCATTGAAAATATATGTCAAATTGGATGTTAGCTGCTTCCTTCTGCAAACACAAAACAATTGTGCAGTGGCATACAGCATAGGTAATATATGCTTTTTTCTTCTATAATTCCATATAAATGTGTAAGAGTAATGTGGTAGAAACCATGAGGTTGTTTTACCTGGAGAATGCTTTTCACTCACTGAAACGAAGTGCCTTAGTACAATGTTGACTATAAAACATTTAAGAAATGCTAAAGAAGACTCTCTAGTCAAACCTGTGTTCTGTTGATGAGATCCTTCTATGCTACCAGTCTGTGTCCCAGTTCTCCACACTCTTTACTGCTTTTTTGCCACGTTGTGGTTTCTGCCCATGGCAAGAGATAGGGCAGTTAAGTATTGGAGACAAAATGTTGCATAAAATACACTCTTCCTGTCCCTTAAAGTCATGTTGACTTCACCACACTTCGTTCTTTCATAGCAATGTGGATCTAGTGCAGCTTAACCTGTCCTGAAGTGCTCAAACAGTCCCTTGGTGCCTTTGAGAAGTAATTTGTGGGCAATGAAAGAAGTAACTTAACTGTTGTGTGTGTACTGTACTGCTGTATTAGTATTAACACTACTGTCTTTAGCTCTCAGGCAAAACAGAGATTAAAGATTTGTTCATCTGCTTTTTAATGAGCAAAGCTAACTTCTGAACTTCTGATCACTGTGGCTCAGATCATTCTGAAGCTGTTGCATGTCAGATGTTACTTCTAAGATACTGTATTTTGTAATACTTTGACTTGTGTCTCATGTCAAATAGAGTAGCCTTTGATTATTTCCTTAGTTGCTTTTTATTTCTCTGTATCCTGTTATTTTTTTTCAACTGAGAGCATTCTCTTGAATCTATGGAGACAAGTAAGGGAAGGAAAAGCTAGGCTGGCATCCCAAGAACAGAGTAATTTTGGTTACACAGTCATATAATGCCAAATATTGAGTTACAGACTCTAGAAGAACTGTAACAGACTGGAGGTTTTACTTGTATATTCACATCTTTGTGGTGTTGGTGAAAGTTTGGGAAATGGAGGATTGTTTCTGTACCATGTCTTCCCAGTTTTGACTTCTTAAAATTTAAGAAGCACATCTTTGGATCCTTGTTTACCTGCTTAATAATGCACTGTCAGAGGAGATTCTTGTATGGTAACTATTTTGCAGCTTGGCACCATTGCAGGGTTCATATTTCTTGTCCCTGTGGAGTCATTATGCTTCCCAAGGGACGTATGATAAGCACAGAAAAGTGTGGTTTAAAAATGCTTCAGCTCAATTGAAATCCAGCTCCAGATCTCTTCCTTTTGTGTTTTTGACTAGACAAGGACCTCTCCCTGCTGGTCTGCTCTTACTTGACTTAGAAGTTAGTCTAACTTCTTCCAACAAACCTAAGGCAGTACAAAAGAATAACTGGGTTTACATTTTCAGAAGTGAACCAGCTGGAACATGACTGCCATCCCGAAACACCTATGTAATGCTTATTGTGTGATGAGATCTGCTGGATGGGACAGTGTGTGTCAAAGCTGCTTATTGCTGTTCCCTCTGCTCATACCTTGGTCACGTTCAGTGAGTACAAATGCCGTCACCAGCACTAGCTCAAAAGCTGCCAGTAACTGTCATTCCATTAAGTGATCCTTGGAACAACTTCTGTAGTCCGAAGTACCCTAGCAATAATCTTGTCTCCTGCAGGTGTAGTGACTTTGCCAGTACGTTTGTTGACAGTTACTGTCTAGTAATAGCACTGCTGGGCCAAGGAAGTGATGGTACCTCTCAGACTTGGGTGAGTGGGACTCCAGGGAGGAACATGCCAACAAAACACAATGCAAGGATGCTGCCACCCATGTACTGATTCTAGAGTTGTCATCTGAAAGAGAGACCACCAGATCTCCCTGATACAAAGGCAAGTTGAATAGAGAATTGCACTATTTTGAAAGTAAGGCTGTACAATACTAACACTTGTGCAAAGCACTCACATCCTGTATTGCTGAAAGGATTTACTGTATTTGAGCCCACTTTACTGTTTTATGGCATATATGGAATCAACTGGCATTTACCAGAACTTTTGTAAATGTCTTTTAAAAAAAGGAAATGTTATCAGGAATGGAACTGGCATGAGGAATTAGCATGTTTCCAGTGATAGTTTATCTACTGCAAATTAATATGCATTACTAAACTGTAGTTGAACTTACTAAGAGTGCTCCTGAAAATCAAGACAATTCTTGGAGGGGTTTGATCCTCCTGCCTGTTACCTGTCCTCACTCCTTTGGAGGGAACCTCAGGCAGGAAACTGGCTGAATGGTTGGGTAAGGAACTGCTACATCCCTCAGACAACCACAGGTCAGTCTCACTGCATGTTTCTCCATATTGGTGTTTTTTTCAGAATACCAAGATCCTTCTTTTCCTGCTCTCCTGACTTTTTCCCTCCATTCATCTGTATGTGTTTTGGTGTTTTCAGGATGACTGCTATCTTAGTTCATGTACATAGAATCATAGAATCATCAAGGTTGGAGGAGACCTCAAAGATCATCAAGCCCAACCAGTAAGCTGCCACTTTGCAGTGACCCCTAAACCCTAAACTATATCCTCCAGTGTCAGATCCAGATGTCATTTTCTGGAGTGTCAGCTGTGTTATGGCTCTAATTGGTGAAGAACTTTTGTATTAGTATTGCTCTTAGAAGACAGGTTAATTCTCCAGCTGGTTTTGAGTTGCTAGATAGAAGCAGGGTTGAAGTATTTAGGAGGATTTCTGTTTCTCCTTTAAAATAATAACTAAATGCCTATACAAATTTTCAAAAGCTTTTAAAATCTTTTCCATAGATGTTTCTAGTCAAGGGAGTGATTCACTTATTTTCTACGTATTTACTC